AAATCAGATCGTCGATTAAAGTTTTTATACCTCATCGAGTCAATATCGCTAGTCATCTTGTTTCAGATCACTTTTTGAATTTTTATCTTAACAACCTGTGCTGCCCCGCAATGGTTTGGCAGGGTAGTTCATTACAAAAGATATCAAGTGCGTTTATGAAGCGATAATCGATATGAAGCAATCCTACAAGGTGCACGCGAAAGAATGAGGGTCTAGTTGGGGCTAATGGTCGCGTCAACACACAAGCGACTTGCAATTGCATGGGCGAAGACGCAGCACTAGCTACCAAGCATAAAGTAGAATCCAAAATTCTCAAAAAACCGGAACGAATGGGATGTACACACCTTCTGATCTGGAATGCGAATCTCGCACCGTCTTCCATCCAGCATGTGACAAGCAGTCGCCAAAACTTTGTCCTGTTCTTCCAAGGTGCTCATTTGCACAAAACCGAAACCTTTCGACGAACCCTCCGATGTTCGTTTGATCTAAATGAAGTAAAAGATATGAAGCTGTTCTCATTTCCTCAGAATGCTTTTTTGGAACTTGAGCAGCATTTTAAATCGTAACCGCCAGTGGACAAACACATACTCATTCATTTTCCTTATTCACAAACAGCAAAAATGTTACTTCCGCAGCTCTTCCATTCCCTATAGAATACCCAAAACAACTCCAAACACTCCCAATAAATCTCCCAGAATTAAGCCATGCATCCCTCATATGTCGGAACTCAACCAAGCAAAACTATCCAACAAGACTCATGCACTTTAAATGTTAGTAGGAAACATAGCGGATAACGCTAGTCCTTCGCCCTGTCGCTCCAATGGCTAACTTTCACAGAAAGAGAAGGAGAGAACACCAACCCAATATTTCCTGCAAACACACTTTGCGGTCACCTTAAGCTTCGCTAACAATCTTCTCTCTTCTCATCTATAAACACCGCCAAAACCGAAACACTCTAACACTAACAAGGGAAGGATGGTAGGTCGAAGTGGCCGTTTAAAATGAAATGTATACCTCCTGATGCGTCTCCAGACGCTGATTCCAAATCTGCCTTCCAAATCTGCTAAACGACTCTCCGAACGGAGTTATGAAGCGTAATAGCTCAGTGGTGATGGTCCGGGGTGGCAGGTAAAAGCTCGTAGGATCGGTTCCTTTGCAAGTTTGTTGCTTTGCTTTTGTCCGCAACACTTCTAGAGACAAAAGCAAAGCAACAAATTTGCAAAGGAACCGATCCTACGAGCTTTTACCTGCCACCCCGGACCATCACCACTGAGCTATTACGCTTCATAACTCCGTTCGGAGAGTCGTTTAGCAGATTTGGAAGGCAGATTTGGAATCAGCGTCTGGAGACGCATCAGGAGGTATACATTTCATTTCGAACGGCCACTTCGACCTACCATCCTTCCCTTGTAAGCAAATCAAAAAACCACAAGGAGCCACAATCACTAGTTCACACTCACCTCTGCAAAAGAGACGGTACCGAATGATTCGAAGTACTTTTTGAATCCTTCGTCAGTGGTCTTGTAATTCACGCCGAGCACGATGAGATCAACGGGACGGCGCGAAGAAGCCGGCTCTGGCTCGTCACCACTCGATCATCGACGAGGTCGGCAGCGAACGGTTTGCGGCCAACCCGACCTCACCCATCACTGTCCGACTCATCCATCACTCTGTACCGACAATTTTGCCGGCCGCTTCACACTTCTACCATCCGAACCTAAGCACAACCTTTCCTCACTCCCGCACTCTACGTTCTTGGAATATAAATCATGATAAACAAAAATAACCACGCTCTTTCCTTTTTCCCAACAAGCTCTGTTCAAGCCTGTAGTTCACAGGACGCATCAGCATCATAGATGCTACGTGCTAAATAGTCAGCACGGCATAGCATAAAAATTACGCTGTGCGCACCGCAATTGTGGCACTGGAGTCATGTCAGGATGAGATGCAGACGGTCAGACAAGCAAGCAGAAATTTTAAAGAGACGTTCCCCAGAGCTGCGCTAATATCGGTCTAAAAGGTTAAGCAAAGGCAAAAAACGCTAAGAATGTGTGGGGTGTGGTAAGTACGACCTTGAAAACCAATTGAGCCTGCTCGATTCGATTCCAAAATACCACCCTCCTCCGTCCACGTAATGAACGCGCTACCTACCACTCCAGACTCTCGCGGGGAACCCCTCATCATTAGTGAATTAATGTAGACGTACCTCGGTCAACGCGGGCGTTCGAAGTGATCACGGTGAAAACCTTGTCGTCCCAGCCGTCGAGAGGAGGCAGAAGCTTGGTACCAGTGGCGTCCACTCTGAAGTACAAGTACTAGCAGATACTAATAAAAGAACCGAATTCCCTATAATGGTCCATAAAACCAGGGCTTAAGTGAAATCCTGGGCCGTGTCGCACGTAAGGCCCAACTCGGACTGGTCCCGCTAAATTTCTGCGTCTCTACTCTGGTCCGATGACGCAACTCTAATAATCAAGAGTAGGCGAAGCGTCCAGAGATGCAGACTTTTGGGAATCCATCCCCCATATGGGGCCTGCTGCACTCCGGCCCAGGAAAGGGGGACTGTAGTGCAACAGTTCGTGTCACCCAAAGTCTCTCTATTCTTGCAAGAAGAGGACGACTGACGGGTAAATTATCGCCAAGCGAAAAGGAAACAACAGAGTACACATTTTCTGGAACTCTTTATCAGAGTGTCTGCTGTGGTTTCAATAGTCTAGTGTCCTACACCACAATCTCGCTGAGAGATTGGTGTAGGACACCAGACGAGCTATACTTAGGCCTCCGAGAAATTAGGACTCACGCGACTGCTCTTAGAGCTCCGGTTTTGGGATTTTTGTACTTCATTCCAGTAGCACCAGGATATGAAGATTGCAGAGTGGTCATAAATAACGTATTATCTTCAGAAGTGGGTAACTCCATGGCGTCACCTGTAAGAATTCAATGCACTGCCAGATTATATCACGTTTAATAGTCATAAAAAGGAGCGTTTTCCAAGTTATATGGGAGGTAAGCTAGAAGAAGCTTACCGCTGTTATCCGAAACAACCACAAACTCTGAGCGCGGTATGCCGTTCCATTCCCGTTTACATTCAACGTCCATGCTACCACTGCCATTGTTGACCGAGGAGTCATGCGATCGTTTTTCTCCAGTGCTACTTGTTGAATCACTCATGACTAAAACTTCTTTTAAAATTTTTGTCATAAAAAGTAAAGGGCGCTTTCTCGATAGAGCTGAACGAAAATGCTCAAAAGCAAAGTAGCTTGCACCTACGTTCCTATAATACCGAGTTGAACCAATAACCCAACAAGAGGGGATCGTGTGAAACAAATTACTCTGTGAGCGGGATAGAATAGCTCACGATTATTAGTGGACCGTTTTCGCGGCTCGAAAGTGCACGGCACTTGCTCTAGGGATTTACTAAGTGAACTTATGGTGACTACCTTAACTTATGGACGAGATACCTCGCGCACATATCATGACACGCAACGTGGATTACGGTGTAGTGTAGCGGCTAATACAAAATGAGCGGATTAGTGGAGCCTTGATGCAAGTAAGATCCCAAACTCGTCTACAACGCCCCCACCCCCATTTCAAGGGGGAAGATAGTCAATGCTCAAAAGCTTCATCGGCGATTTGCTTTGCTTTTTTTTATTTGCAGTCAACCCGTCATCCACAATTTCATTATCGACCGCTGTTATCCCCCCAATTTTGACACTTGTTTTGATATGTGTAGAGTTACATCGTGCTTCATTTCAAATCGTATTTACTGTGCCGTAATTTGTAACCATATTTATAGCACCATTTGTACATCTTATTCCTTCTAGAACTTTTTTTCTATTTCTTTCCGCGACTTAGAAGAATATTGGACACAAGGAAAAAGGTGAGCACACAAATGCGTAAGGCTATCCCAAGCAGGGCGAAAATCGTGTCGAGGAAATGGTCGCGTCAGTACAACCCCTCCTCCGCCACCTTCATAACATCCACATTTGAAACAAAGAATAGAAGTCCTAAATGCACGAGAGAGAGAAGTAGCGGAAAGTAGGGTTCACATCAGCCACCTTTTCAGGATTGCTTATTCCAGTTTCGTTTAGAAAGATGGAGATATTCTAATCGGCCGATTGGACAAATCTTCACCTATCTAGATAATACCCTAATCATGCATGGAAGACCAAGACATGGCGTATCCAAAAAAGGGTTGGTCAGCGTTCATTTCAACCTATGCACACAAGTAGTAGCAACACAGGAGGAGGCGGTGCTAACTTACAATTAATTGGGCCCCAATTAATTTTTTAATTTCCGGCGCGGGCACGCCTTTGCGTACTTCGGGAAATCCGTGAGCCAGGGGGAGTGTAGGCAGTCTAGGGGGGTGGGGGGTGGGGGCAGTCACTTGACATGCGTGAAAAGCTGGAATGTTCGAGTTTACACTGTCTCGCTCGAGAGAGCCCAGGTGAGCAGACTGCCGCGCCGCCGCGTGCCCCCCCCCCCCGCCCAACGGTCGACGGACTACTTGAACTCGGCCCTTTAAGCTGCCTCACTCGACGCTTTCGTCTGCGCTCTCTCACCTTATCAGCGGCTCATCACCACTGCGATCTCACACATTCAAACTTTTGCCACAATGCAACTGGCTCACCCACCTCGGATTCCCTCCCCCTTACAAGGCTTAGTCCTAAGGCTCTCACCTCCCTCCTTGGGATTTGGAGCCGAGCCAGGCGCCATTCTCTGATCGTCTGTGCTCTCCGCCATTCGTGGCAGGACCATAGACGAAAGTGCAAGTAGTCCGTAAACCCCCCCCCCAATAATTTAGCACGTATTCGAGCCTTCCTATGCGAGCAATCGCCTTTTCAATTGTCAAACACTTTCCGTTGATCAGATTCACCGAATTTCCAAAAGAAAGTAAAACCCGCTCAAAACAGCAACTAAGGAGTGAATCTTTGCAGAATTAATCCAAAACCGGACGTTAAGGTAACAACTTAAAACTTTTCAGCGATCTAATACATAGGGATATTACAAGCCATGAACGATTTGGGAGCTGTCATAGCTCACGATTTCGGAAATTCATTGATCCAGCGATTTGCCGACTCCGCTGAAAGGACTGTACAACTAACTACTACAGGAATTGCCAAATAGCTGGATTTGGGCAAGATCGCTCACAAGGTGAAACAAATAGATCGAGGTCCACCCAGTCTTCCCGCGAGTTCCCTGGATCGACAGATCGTGAGCTATGAACACCTCCAAGAGGAATGATAAAAACATTACCACTCAAACACAAAGTGAAGAGCCAAATGATGCCAACCTTATCGACTATCGCTGTTGCACGGCAACGTTGATTTGCATGGCAAACGCGTAGCGGTCGTTGCCTGCAGAGCATACTTTGGCCGTGGAGCGCACACCGTTTACTACACCAACTACGAGTTTTCGATCTCGTATCTGAAGTATGGTACCGTTGCGAAATCATAGAAGTTTAAAGACATCTCTATGCAGTAGTTTGTCCTGGCTATAGTAGTCGCATTTTTGGCAAGGGAAAAGGCTCTGGGGAAGGAACCACCGCCTGCGGCGCAGGCGATGATTCCCTCTTGCTTCATGTTTGGCGGGGGCGAACCGGCTGAATCTGACGGACTCCTTGAACTCGGTCCTTCAGACGTAATACAATACACTATTACCTACATTGAAGTCTGCTCGATAAACATGTTGGTCCAAATCTCTCCTGTCCTCACATCTCCACCATCGAATTCACTGAACCACCTCAAAGTTATATTTAAAGAGTCCAACAACGTCGACTTGAATAAGTTACGCTTTGGCGCCGGGCAGCAGGAGGCACACGGGGAGGATAAGGAGGAAGTGTGGGGGGAGAGAGGGAAACCAACACTACGTAGAGCTAATGGTAAGACTCAAATCAGTACTACCTCGGTGCTGCCATGAAACAACAGTGAGTACGGATTCTACTGAATGAGAACGGTTCAGAGAACTTTCATGGTGCTGCCTCGATTTCGCGCTTCAAATTTGTTCAGTCATCTGCCTAGATTCAGTGCAGTGCTGAGTCCCTTAACCCTTTGACGACAATGCGGATTTGCACGTAGCTTGCTCGTGGGACCACGCCTCTTTTTGGCGCGCCCAACTCTCGCTCACAATTGGGCAAAATTGTCCCTCAAAGCAGTTTTTCTATAGAATTTTTGACTTTAACAGTATACCAGATATAACTGCAGTTCTAGGCTTTCATACTGTTATTGTTTTCAAGAGAATTCCAAATTTGGAAGGGAACTCGGGTTTCAAAGGGAAGGAGGGCAAAACCTCT